CAGTGAGTTTAAGGCCAGTTTGGACATAGTGAGGTCCTGTCTTAAAAAAAAAAAAAAAGAATGAACTGAAAAACCAGCCATGGTGACTGACCCATGCTTGTAATCTTAGAACTCTGTGGGACAAAGCAGGATTAGGGCAAGTTTGAGGACAGGTGAGAGACTACATGGTAAGTTCAAGACCAATTTGGACTACATAGTGAGACCCTGTCTAAAACAAAAAAAAAAAAGAAAAGAAATTATTTGGAGTACAATTTTCATGTCTACTCCTGGAATTTTTTGTGTCAAAGCTGTTATTTTTGTCTTTTTAAACATTTACCTTGAATCTGAACAAATAATTTCACAATTCACAGCATAGTGCTGGTGATAGAGTAGATATTGTTCATAATTTTGAACTTGTAGTTTTGTTTTTGTCTTTTTTTTTTTTTTTTTTGAGATAGAGGGTCTTGTACTTGTCAGGCAGGTGCTGAGCTGCTGAGCTATATCCGTGCCCCTTGTTTTTATTTTAATATACTTATTCTGCTGTAAGCAGATAGAATCCCAGAAATAAACGATAATTTTCTGTTTTTCTTCATTAGGTTTCAACTTTCTGTGCTGTGGGGTGAGCCGTAAGAGAGGTAGATCTGATGTGTATCTGCTGAAAAAGCTTGAGCTCCTTGCTGTGACTTGCAGCAGCTACTCTGTTAATAATTGCACATTTTTTCTAGCGCTAATGTGTGATATTTTGAGAAGGTGGTTGATTCCTTGGAAGCATTTCTTTTTTTTTTTTTTCTTTTTGAAGTGTTTAGAACATTTTATTAGACTACAAAATGGTTGGATTTAAGATAAATAGAAAAACGTAGTAAATATTTGCTTGTAAGCATTGTTTGACTCTAGCTGCTGTATCCAAATAGAATGCTATTTTCGCATAGAACTCTTTCTCTGCCAGGTATGGTGGTGCATGCATATAATCTCAGCACTCTGGGAGGCTGAGACAGGAGAATCACAAGTTCAATCACAGCCTGCGCAATTTAGTGAGATCTTGTCTCAGAATAAAAAATAAAAAGGGCTGGGAATGCAGCTCAGTGTTGAAGACCTTGGGTTCAGTCCCCAGTACCACAAAAACAACAACAGCAACAACAGTGACAGAACTAACTTCCCGTAGTTTATTTCATTTCGGTATGTAAGTCTCTGCATGCTTCCATTCCCTTTATGTTGTACATCATTTGCCTGACTTTTCCAACCCTATAGATGGGTTTCATAATTATAATAAGTGGTAGAATACATAGTGCTTACTGTATGTCAAATCTGTAGCTTACTCTCATTTAATCCCCGCCAAATCTGAACCCAGTGTTCTCAGCAAGCACTGTTATGCCTGAGCTACACCCCTACCCCTATTTCTGCATTTAGAGAGTGGGAGACAGGGTCTCACTATGTAGTGCAGGTTGGCCTTGAACTTGTTAATATAGCCCAGGCTGACCTCGAATTCTGTGATGCTCCTGCCTCAGCTTCCCAAGTGCTGAGATTACAGGTGTGTGCTACCACACCTGGTTATTTCAGCATTTTGTGAAATAAACAAGGCCTAGAAATGTTTCAATCTGTCTGTCCAAGACTTCCTAGTTAGTACCCTTTATGCTATTTGTTGTTCCCCTTGCTAATCTGTTTTGTTTTTACAGAGATGGGGTGAGAGCTTGCACATTGTAGGCAAGCATTGTCCCACTTAGCTACATTCTCAGCCCTCCATGTTCTTACCTGAAACTTGAATGTGAGCTAACTTGACTTTACACTTTTTTTTTTTTTATTTTTTTTTATTTTTTTTTAATTTTTGCAGTGCTGGGTGTTGATTGTAAGGCTTTGAGCGCACTAAACATGCACTCTGCCTCTGAGCTATTTCCGTGGCTGCTAACTTGCTTTTAAAGAAAATTAAATGTTTTTTGCTGAATGGGTTCTGTCTAAACCGGCCATCTGTGGTGAAGGAAATAGTACAGAAGCTAACTTCTCTTTCTGACCTTAGCTTTCCTAAAAAAAAAGCAACAAAAGTCTGAGCTCCCCTGTGCATAGTATGTAGAATTACCATTTTGCCAGAAACTGTTTTAGAAGTTGATGTGCACTTTTGCCAAGGATTAATAAATAGTTCTGTTGTCAATTACAAGGTGCCTAAAACAAACAAACCTGTTTTGTCAGAAGTGCTCTTTTTTCTCTATTGTCCATTGCAAATGCATTCATTAATGACAAGCTTTATGCTGTACTTTTAATCAGAGCAAGTTGTATACCAAAAAGAAAACCGTAGTCTGAGATGAATGGAACTTTTTATTTTTGTTAGAATGGTTAATGTTTTTTGTTTATTTGTTGTTTCTTTTTGAAATAGGAATCTCAGGGTCTCTCTGTGTTGCCCAGCTTAACCTTGACTTCCTGGGCTCACGTGACCCTCTTGCCTCAGCCTTGACAGTGGCAGGGACTGTGGGCTTTTGTCATTGTACCTGGCATATCTCATTTAATGTTTTTGTTGCTGTTTTTTTTGTCTTTTTGGAACAGGGTCTTACTATACATTTCAGGCTGGCCTCGAGCTCACTTTGTAGTCCAGGCTGGTCTGGAACTCACAATGATCCTCCTGCCTCAGCCTCCTGAGTGCTGCAATTACAGGCATGTGCCACTGTGCCAGGCTATTTTTAGTTTTTTGAAATAAGGTCTCACTATGTAACCCAGTCTAGTCAAAGTCATAGCAATCTTCCTGCCTCCGCCTCCCAAGTGTTGGACTTACAGGCATGCACCACCATGCCTGGCCTAATCTTTACATAAACCTTCTAAAATAGTTCTTCTTCTTTTTAGAAAAATACAAAGAATGATTTGCCTGATATAACACAGATCCAGATCTTTGGTTTTTTGTTTGTTTGTTGGCTTTTTGTGTCAGGGTCTCACTATGCATTTTAGGCTGACCTCGAACTCAACGACCCTCCTGCCTCAGCTTCCTGAGTGCTGGGATTTAAGGTGTGTACCACCATGCCCGGCTCCCAGGTCTTCTGTTTTTAACTTTTTTTAAATTTTGTTTTTTATTTTTGGGGCTTTTTTTGAGATAGGGTCTTGTTATGTAGTATAGGCCAGCTTTGAACTCATGAATCCTCCTGCCTCAGCCTCCTGAGTGCTGGTATTGTAGGCATCTGCTGCTTTGCCAGGCTATCCTTTTTTGTTTTTTTTTTTTTTGGTAGCTTCACATTTTACTATCAGTTGAAAAGTTGGAAGTGGGCTGGGGATATAGCTCAGTGGTTTAAGCGCCTGCCTGGCAAGCACAAGGTCGTGAGTTTGATCCTTGGTACTGCAAAAAAAAAAAAAAAGAAAGAAAAGTTGGAAGTTACAAAAGGCTTGAGTTTGATGACGACACTTTAAATTCTTCAGCAAGTTACCAGCAGTTTTGGTTATGAATGTGTTGTCCTGGCTTTGTTGTTCCTTGAAAGCTTTAGCTTAGAATTTTATTCTTAACATAGTCTTTCACCCAACTGAAGTTAAACCTGATTGATAGTGACATGAAATATCTTTCTGACAGTGAGATAGCATTTCTCTTGCCTTTTGAGTAATGAAAACTATCTACATTATATTAAAGGAAACATCTAGTCCATTCTGGTGACTTTTTAATTTTTAAAAATATGGTTAATGTTTATTTCCTTTGAATTTTATTTTAATTATTTTGAGGATACGATCTTGCTGTGTAGCCCAGGCTGTCCTTGAACTTACTGTGTAGGCCAGGCTGCTTTCTAATTTGTGGCAATCCTTCTGCCTCAGCCTCCCGAGTGCTGGGATTACAGGCATGTGCCACTGTGCCTGACATAATAAATGAATTTTAAATACTAACAGATCCCTGTTGTTTATAGTAGAAATCAGGAGGAGAATGTAGGGACAAAATCAGTTTCTGTCTGCTTTGAGTGCTGTTTTATGTTTTCAACATTGTTTTCTCATGCTTAGCTTGCTTCCTCATTGTCACACGTCAACTCTCTTTTTTTTTGTTTATTTATTTATTTATGTCTTTTTGAGATAGGGTCTCGATATGCAGCTCAGGCTGGCCTTGAGCTCACTTTATAGCCCAGGCTGGTCTCGAACTCGCAACGATCTACCTGCCTCAGCCTCCCGAGTGCTGGGATTACAGGCGTGCATCACCATGCCCGGCGACATCAACTCTCTATCTTTTAAATTACCACAGATAGTCTCTAAAAGTTCTGTTTTTGGAGGGTCTATCGGGAATCAAACTCAGAGCTTCATGCTTGCCAGGCAGGCTCTGTGCCACTGAGCTAAACCTGTGGCCCCATAAAAGTTCTTATCCTTTCAACCCTTAAAAAAATTGTTGAGGTGCTGAGGATATAGCTCAGAAGCACAGTGCCTGCCTGGCAAGCACTGGGTCATTTTGATTCCTGGGAACAAAAACAAAAACAAAAAACAAACAAAAATTGTGAGGCTAGGGATATAGCTCAGTGGCACAGCATCTGCCTGGCAAGTGCAAGGTTCTGAGTATAATTCCTGGTACATGCCTCAAAAATTGTCAAGTCTCAAGGTCTCCAGTGAGTCTTGGGTATCTCTTACTCCCTTTCTCTTTTGACCATGGTATTAGTAAGACCCTTTAGTGGCTAAATATTAAGAAAGGTTATCTTTCCCATAGAAAATACGAACATTTGAGTGAAAAAGGAGGTGTAACAGGAATAGATTATGGGTAAGACTTCCGGGTACAGAGGAAAAGGAGGAAGGGACGTTGAAAAAGTATGATCTGAAATGATCTGGTATCACTGAGTAAGTGGCAGGAGCTTCTGGTCATGTTTAGTTTGACTCAAACTTAGATTCTTTTTTTTTTTTTTTTGAGATGGGTTGTCACTACACAGTTCAGACTGGTCTTGCACTCAATATCCTCCTGCTTCAGCCCCAGTGCTCAGATAATAGGCATGTGCTGCTGTACCTGGCTTCAAACCTAGATTCTCCAGTGTGTTTGATGGAGATTGAATGAGTGGGTGTGTATATATTTAATGATTTCTTTATTTTTTTAGCAGCAGCAACTGGAATCAAGAGACCTATGACATCTGAGGTGAGTTTCATAATAATAGTACAACTTTACTCCAGGAATAGCAGGATATTTATGAAATTTTCAATTTCTCTATGCTTAGGTCTTCAGGTTTTAGTTTTGAAAAAAACAACTCATATACTTGGCTTGCACACTGACAGAGAGGACTCCGTACCCTAAAGGCCATAGGTTTGCCAGGGGCCAGATTGTTTACACCTATCAGTTCAGTTTCAGCAAATAGTACTGAGATTGAGTGGAGGATTAGTTATTTCTGACAGGAAACTGGTGAAGAAAGGAAAGCTGGGGGTGGTGGCAGGCGCATGTAGTCCCAGCTACACAGCTGACTGAGGCAGCGGGATGGCTGGGCCCAGGAGTTTAAGGCTAGCCTGGGCAGTGGCGTGAAATGCTATATCAATAAATAAAACAAACATGATTCTTGTGCATTAGCGTGGAGTGGACCTTCTGAAGATTTTATAAAATGTTCTTAATTCGAAAAGATGTGTTGGGTTCTTTCTTTTCTTGTGCTATTGGGCATTAAACCCAGAACCTCTGCCCTGAGCTATATCTGCAGCCCATTTTTTGTTTTTATTTTGAGACAAGATCTCTTAAATTGCCCAAGCTGGCCTCAGATTTGCAGTCCTCCTGCCTCATCCCTATAGAGCGCTACCATTGTGGCTTGTTGTGATTATCATCACGACAGTATAACTGTTGTATTACATGGGGTTATATACTGACCTGGATTCTTCTCTTCTAGATGTCCTATGCCACTGGCATGACCATCAAGAAAATAGGCCACCGAAGTGTTGATTCTTCAGGAGAGACAACATACAAGAAGGTGAGTTTGCATTGAACCTGCTCATCGTTGAGAACACGGTAAGGGCAGCACAGTCCCCTCGATGCTCTTCTCCACGTGCTATCCCATTTCTTAATATCTAAGCCTTTGGATATCAGCTGTCATACAATTTAAGAGTGTAGGGCTGGATGTGGTGGTGCGTGCCTCTAATCCTAGCACTCAGGAAGCTGAGGCAGAAGGATTGTTGCAAGTTCGAGGCTGGCCTGGGCTACAAAGTGAACTCTATAGGCCAGCCTGAACTATATAGCAAGACCCCATCTCAAAAAGACTGAAAAAAAAAAAAAAAAGAATTTAGAATTTATTTCACAAAGGCCAGACTTTTCTACCTGTATGTATGTTTAAATGGGAATTTTTTTTGTTTATTTGTTTGTTTTTGAAATAAGTTGTCTTTGCACAGTCCAGGCCCTAAACTGTGGCACAACCTGACATTAAACTCATAATCCTCCTCCCTTAGGCTCTTGAGTGTTAGGCTTACAGGTTTGCACCACTGCAGTTGGTGGTTGTTTTTTGTTGTTGTTGTTTCTTTTTTTCCTTTCTGGTGCTTGGGAGCAAACCCAGGTTTTTTGTATGCTGGGCAGGTGCTCTGCCACTGAGCTAGATCCCTATTCCTTTTTTTTTTTCTTTTTTGTCTTTTTTTGAGACAGGGTCTCGCTCTGCAGTTCAGGCTGGCCTTGAGCTCACTTTATAACCCAGGGTGGTTTCAAACTCTCAATGATTGATAGATCTTGCCTCAGCCTCCCGAGTGCTAGGATTCCAGGCATGTATCACCACGCCTGGCTAGATCCCTATATCTGAATGAGAATGTTCTTTATGAACAAATCTAGTGATGCTATTTCTCTGAGGTAGCATACTTGGGTTTCACTGTTAGGTATAAGCATGTTCTTTCTTTGCCACAGGGAATCAGATTTCTTGAAGACTTTTTGTTTTTTCTCTATTGCTGGATGCTCATGAAGTGAAGGCCATGTCCCAGCCTGGTAATATACAGATAGGTCACACGTTGATTTTTTTCTTTCCTTATTTTTTGGTTTTATTTTGTCCTGTCTCTTTCATCATCATTGTGTTCAGACACCATCACTGTGTTCAGAGCTCCAGTTCTGGACTAATTTGGAGAGGCTTAGGCTTCCCAAAGGGTGGTGTTTAAGCATCTGTATCTTTTCTAATACAAGGCATGAAGATTTCTTGGATTCTTAATTCTGACCAATGTAAATTTTAACTGTTTTCTGCCTTTGTTTTGTTGTGCTAAGTAGCAGAAGTGAACTGACTCATATTCTCAATCAGGTACTTGCCTCTCTCTGGAATGATCTTTCGGACCCATTCAACTGACATTTATTGAGCTTTTTTTAATGAGTTTTTTTGAGAATCTGTTTTACTATGTAGTCCAGGCAGGGTGGACAGTCTTGAATTTGCTTTGTGGCCTAGGGTACCCTCAAATTTGCAGTCCTCTTGCCTGGGCCTCCTGAGTGCTGGGATTATAGGCATGTGCCACCATACGTGTCTCTATTGAGCTCTTTTTATGTGCTGAACATTGAGATAAAAAGGTGAGTTTCTATGCAAAACCTTAAAACATTAGCTATAATTTTATTTTTGTCTTTTTGAAACCGGGTCTCGCTATGCAGGTCAGGCTGGCCTCGAGTTCACTTGTAGTCCAGGCTGGTCTCAAATTTGCAACAATTCTCTTGCCTCAGCCTCCCGAGTGCTGGGATTACAGGTGTGTGCCACCATGTGTGGTTTACATTACCTATAATTTTAATGCCCACTGAGGACTAAGTAGAGTATGAATAATATCTAGTGAGGGTAGGGATGAGGGGAATAATTTAGAGGAAAGTTACCCAATAAAACTTTGTAATGATTGAGAAGTGCTATATGTCTATTTTCTAGTGTTACTAGCCACACTTCAGCTGTAGCTGTTAAGATTGAGAAAATGAAGTTGTATTTAATTTTAGTTAAATTTGAAAATCCATGTGTGGAACTGGCATGGTGGCCCACTTCTGTAATCCCAGTACTCGGGAGGCTGGATCATTGTGCGTTTTTTTTTTTTTTTTTTTTGGTTTTTCTCCGGTACCGGGAACCGAACTCACGACCTTGCGCTTGCCAGGCAGGCGCTTTTTGCCGCTGAGCTAAATCCCCAGCCCCAGCTAAATCCCCAGCCCCTCATTGTGCGTTTGAGACCATCCTAGGCTACAAAGTGAGCTTAAGGCCAGCCTGAACTGTATAGCGAGACCCTGTCTCAAAAAGACAAAAAAAGAAAGAAAGAAAAAAGAAAATCCATGTGCTGGTATTTTATTGGACAGAGATTTGTGTGATATGATATTTTCCCATGGGATTGAAATCCTGGATTGTTAGAGCTCTTATATTTGTGTTTTTACCATATTATGAAAATTGTTGATTTTTTTTTTTTTTTTTTCTTTCTTTTCTTTTGGTTTTTTGAGATATGGTCTTGCTCTGTAGTTCAGGTTGGCCTTGAACTCACTGGATAATCCAGGGTAGCCTCAAACTTGCAGTGATCCTCCTGCCTCAGCCTCCCATGTGCTGGGATTATAGGTGTGTGCCACCAGGCCTGGCAATAATTCTAATTCTCCATGCCTGGCAATAATTGTAATTCTCTCTCTCTCTCTCTTTTTTTTTTTTTTGCTTTTTGAGACAGGGTCTTGCTGTGCAGTTCAGGCTAGCGTTGAACTTACTTTGTAGCCTAGGCTGGCCTTGAACTCAACAATCCTTCTGCCTCAGCCTCCTGAGTGCTGGGATTACAGGCGTGTGCCACAACGCCTGGCTAATAATTCTAATTCTTAAGTACTTTTCTCAGAAATAATTTGAGTTGAACCCAGTGTGATGACATATTCTGTAATCTTAGCACTCTGGGAGGTTTAGGCAGGAGAATTGGAAGTTTGAATCTCAGTTGGACAATTTGGTGATTTAAGCCTTTTCTCAAAATAAAGATAATGAAAGCTGACTCTGAAGGCCACTGCTTCAATTTTTATTTGTTTTATCATTTTGAGACAGGGTTTTGCTATGTAGTTCAGGCTGGCCTTGAACTCACTTTGTGTTGTACCTCAGTTTGGCCTTGAACTTGGAATGATTCTCCTGCCTCAGCCCCCTGAGTGCTGGGATTATAAGCATGCCCCACCATGCCCAGCCTGTTTCAGTTTTTTAGTACCACCAAAAAAATAGTAATAATTTAAGTTACTAGGCTTGGTGTTGTATCCCTGTAATCCTAGCACTTTGGAGGCTGAGGCAGAATTACAAATACTAGGTCAGTCTGGACTACATAACAAGACCCTATCTCAAGAAAACCAACCAGCCAACCAGCAAACAAACATTTAACTTGTCTTTCATGCTTTCTTCTTCAGTTAAGAGCTTTTTGCCAGTCTGGTATCCTTGGTACACTGATCAGGGCTTTTAGAAGAGTAAAGCTTCTGCAACGAAATAATTAAATCAGAATATTTTAGTTGTTTTACATCAGATGAATTAATATATTTAGAAGGTATTCTGCTAGCAGGAACTTTACAAGTCAGACCTAAGATTCTTCTGTGGACACAGTGCATCTTCCAGATACAGACAGGGAGCTCTTGCGTAGTTAGGCTAGTAGATAGGAATGCTTTGCCTAGCCAAGGTGGCTCAGTCCCACCTTTATTACTTTATATTTTCCTTGTCCCACCCAGTCTTTTCCAGGCTTAATTGCAGTGTGAAGCATGAGAATTGTCCCATTTTAGTGTGAGCTACTGGAGGGAGGGGCATTTGTTTCCAAGTGTTTCTTCTGACTCTTTTCTCTTGAGTTTTTATTGCTCTTGTCAGACTTAATTTAGAAACTTGCCTGTCCTTTTTCTTTTCCTTAGACGACGTCATCAGCTTTGAAAGGTGCCATCCAGTTAGGCATAACTCACACTGTGGGGAGTCTGAGTACCAAACCAGAGCGGGATGTCCTCATGCAGGACTTCTATGTGGTGGAGAGTATCTTCTTTCCCAGGTATGAAGGTTAAATTAATGTTTACGAGAACATCCTAAAAGGTGTAGCATTTTGAAATCAACATTCGAGCAACTTGAGTGTTCATGGTCTGACCAAATTAAGAATGTGTCCAATCCTTAGCCTATTGATAATTGGAATGAGGTAGACTGGAGAGTTTGGAGAGCAAGCTATCCTCCAGATGCTGCCATGAACCTCTGGCCTGTAGTGTGACCCATTAAGAAAATAATTTAATACCTTTTCTAGTCTCCTGTGTCTTTGTCCCAGTGAGTGCTAGATTTATCTGTCCCAACTGGCCCTCTTAAGAGCATGTGCTCTTAAGGGAAGACCTCCCTCTGCCTTCCCAGGGTGGACTCCCTCTGTGAGACTGTGAAGTTAAGGATCTTTTGTTTAACCCCACAGTGAAGGGAGCAACTTGACACCTGCTCATCACTATAATGACTTTCGGTTCAAGACCTATGCGCCTGTTGCCTTCCGCTACTTTCGGGAGTTGTTTGGCATCCGGCCTGATGATTACTTGGTAAGCTGCTGAGCTTAGGACTCTGTAAATGCAGTGTCAGAGGGATATTCTCAGAGAAAGGCTCCCTCTCTTCATAGTTTTTGTTTGGTCTTTTTGTGAGACAAGATTTCACTATGCAATTCAAGCTGGCTTGAACTTACTTTGTAGCCCAGGCTGGCCTTGAACTTGCAATGATCTTCCTGCCTCAGCCTCCTCAGTGCTGGGATTACAGGCATGCTCCACCATGCCTGCCCTCTTTTTATAGTCTTTCTGTTTTTCTTTAGAATAGATGTGCATTTGTAGTTGATTTCTGTACTGGGCAGGCCCTGTTATGTCTCAGTCTCTTACTGTTTCGTCTTGGCCTCAGTATTCCCTCTGCAGTGAGCCACTGATTGAACTCAGCAACTCTGGAGCTAGTGGTTCCCTCTTCTACGTGTCCAGCGATGATGAGTTCATCATCAAGACGGTGCAGCATAAAGAAGCAGAGTTTCTGCAGAAACTTCTTCCCGGGTATTACATGGTAAGTGGACAGGACACTGGCTTCGTACTCTGGACAAGGTGGGGGAAGCTGTCTTCAGCTGGGTAAAGCAGTGTCAGTCAGTGTTGTGTTTGTGTGTCTTTTTTTTTTTTTGGTACCTGGAATCGAACTCATGACCATAGGCTTGCCAGGCAAGGGCTTATGCTACTGAGCTATATCCCCAGCCCAAGTGTGTGTCTTTGTGGGTGCACACATGCATGTTTTTTGCCGGGTTTCTTTCATGTTTCTGTGGTAAAAGGGATTTTTTTCTATCTTTTTTTTGTGGCGAGTGGTTATTGGGAATTGAACCTGGGGCCTCTGCTGTGAACTATATCAGCTGTTGCTATTTGTTTATTTTGTTGTTTTAGTTTTTTTGAGACACAGTCTTAATGTATAGTTTAGGCTGGCCTTGAATAACTGTGTAGCCCATATGGCTTTGAACTTGTGGCAATCCTATGCCTCAGCCTCCTCAGTGGTGGAGTTACAGGTGTGCTGTAACCATACCTGACATAAATTCTCCCCCTTGTTGCCAAAATACCTCATTATTTTTTAATTCTTGTTTTTATTAGTACATGTTTGTAGTACATGATTAAATTCCTCATAGGGAGTTGGTACATGTACATAACACAATCTAATTCTTTTTATTTT